ATAAGTTTAACATGACAGCAAATGTACAACGTTTCGACAAGGTTTCGTCATCATCATTCGTTATATTAAAGTTTTTCTTCATTACCCATTTAAGCCGTCTCCAGCCATTATAAATGTATTTATTAGCCAGTCGGACATGTTTAAGTATTTAATAAAATAAAACATGAAATTATATAACAAAGAATGAATTCATGACTGGTACAAAACTATCATTCATTTGATTGGTCCTCTAACTCTCATTCATTTGATTGGTCCTCTAACTATCATTCATTTGATTGGTCCTCTAACTCTCATTCATTTGATTGGTCCTCTAACTATCATTCATTTGATTGGTCCTCTAACTATCATTCATTTGATTGGTCCTCTAACTATCATTCATTTGATTGGTCCTCTAACTATCATTCATTTGATTGGTCCTCTAACTCTCATTCATTATATGACGTAATTTTAACACCGACATTCCCGAAGAAATTTCCTCGCATATCAATTAATTATGTCATGACATCTAAAGTTTATTACTATATTCTCAAACATACAATATATTCGTGATACGTACGACATTATTAATATCTCTCTCTTCATACACTTAATTGTCTATTGAGATACAATAAGACAGAAATTTTAAAATGATGTTTCAAAAATTACTGTTTGACCTAGTGATACACATCTGTTCGAATCATCACACCAGAGAGAGGCTTCTCTCTTATTGGACTAGAGTGTTTCATGATATAGCCAAGATGGGCTTGGTTTTACACTAGTAAGCTGTTCTTCTATTGGACTATAGTGTTTAATGAAGACAACTGATATAGCCAAGATAGGCGTGGTTTTACACTAGTTTGCTGTCATTCTATTGGACTATAGTGTTTAATGAAGACAACTGATATAGCCAAGATGGGCGTGGTTTTACACTAGTAAGCTGTTCTTCTATTGGACTGTAGTGTTTCATGGGGATAATGACTGTTTCTTTTATTGTTTTGTCGAAATTCGCGAAAAACTGCTAGAGGGCCATCTTTGAAATGATAGATTAGAGGGAAGGCGGATAGTCAACACCACCCATCGCCAACTCTTGGGCAACTCATGTTTGCTGACAGGATTCGAACCCGCACATTGCAATATTTAAGAATCTCTTGTTGAGAACACGCTGTTTCTTGTTGAAGCTTACTTGTTGGAAGATGAAAAATCACATAAAATTCAAAGAATAAGAAAAGAGAGATAAATAAAACAATCAAATATTTTTAAGACTATCGAAAAGTGATACCTAACTATGATACGGAACATTCTAGAACAGCATTTTGAAAACTATAACATTTGCAATAATTTGTTTATTTATCTGTTTGTTTGTTTGAAATTAAGCACAAAGCTATACAATACGCTATCTGTGCTCTGCCCACCACGGGTATCGAAACCCGGTTTCTAGAGTTGTAAATCAGCAGACATACCGCTGTGCGACTGGGGGGGAGACTTATTTCTTTGTAGTTAAGCACAAATCTACACAATGGGCTATCTGTGCTCTGCCCACCACGGGTATCGAAACCCGGTTTCTAGAGTTGTAAGTCTGCAGACATAACGCTGTGCCACTGGAGGGGGGGGGGCAGTTGCAATAATGGAATAATAATCCACATTTTACGTTTCTAGACGTGCTTTGATTAATAAAATGACCAGAAGTGGACATAAATAAAAAAAACGGTTTTTCATTTTGCTGTTTATAGAGACGAAACAACCGAAAATTTTACTTTTGTACCAGAACGGCACGTTTACACACGTGGGACAACCCGTCAGATCAGAGACCCTAATTTTAAATTGCTGAACAGAGAGGAGCAGCCCCCTCCCACCAGCAACAGGACTTGGAACCGAATAACGGGACTGACTGCCACTTTTACAATGCACCCACAGATGAAAGTTGTGAACGGCATCACAACTCAATACACGGGTTCTTCGGTCAGGGTTAGTTATATAAAACTTAAGTACACGAGAAAGGTTATGAGACATCACAATATAAGTTGTAATGAATTTAAACACTGATAATAAAGACATCACAATATGAGTAGTAATGAATTTAAACACTGATAATAAATACATCACAATATGAGTAGTAATGAATTAAAACACTGACAATAAAGACATCACAATATGAGTAGTAATGAATTTAAACACTGATAATAAAGACATCACAATATGAGTAGTAATGAATTTAAACACTGATA